TCTCTACTACAAATAGAAAAATTAGGCAGGCATGGGGGCAGTTGCCTGTAATCCCAGCTACTTGGGAGACTGAGGCAGCAGAATCTCTTGAACCTGGGAAGCAAAGGTTACAGTGAGCCGAGATTGTTCTACTGTGCTCCAGCCTGGGTGACAGAGCAAGACTCTTCTCAGAGAAAAAAAAAAAAAAAAAGAAGAAAAAAGAAAATACCACAAAACATTCTTTCAATTAGAAAATTATTTTCCTTATTCATACATTGAAGATAATACAAAACTTTCTTCACACAACATTTATGAAAAGGACTAGAACCCACATTTAATGGAATAAAATGGAACCAAACACAGAAATCCTCTCTAAAATAAAATCCCAAATTCCGTTAAATGGCAGCTGACAATAAGACACTTAAGTGCATTCACTGTCACAAAACATTAAAAACAGAGCCAGATGATTAAATTGTGCATTTGTTAATCAAGATTACTCCCAAACCGTTATTTTTAAGGAAATTAATGAAGAGGAACGATACCGGAATTTGGGCAAATAAAATTATACCAAATATGCTGTTCTGTAGAAAGTGAAAAGTTCCTCTTCAAAATTTCTCTTCTTGTTAAAGAATAATAATAATAAATCTTAAAATTATAGTTTCTTCTAAAGACTTTCTTCAGAGCCCTCTTGCTTTTTGCTAGTAACTCTGTTAAGCCCTATCTTATGCAGCTGTTAGAGATAAGGGAATAAGTACAATCTATGCCCTTGTACTTTAATGAAGATATTTACGCTATTACTTTTCTAAGTCCTTTCCCAATAAACTTCCTCACCCTTTCTTATTTGGACTTCCTCTTTTCCTTTGTTCTCCATTGCCTTTACCTATTTAGAAAAGTTTTCAGTTGTTAGTCAACTTTTAGTTGGCTTTTAGTTTAGATTGTGAGGTCTGGCTCCAACCAACAGAGATTGGACAGAGCAGTAAAAACCTAATGTGTAAACAATAAATATGCCTGCCATTCCTTTGTTTATTGTACTCTTGTGGCAAGATGGCTGAAAGGCAGTACTATTTCTGCAAAAAGTAAAATACCTTGCTAAGAAAATTTTTTGTTTAAATGCTATTTTTTCCTTTAGGTACCTAAGAACAAGCATTCTGTCTCTACCATGTTATGAAATGCACTCAAATCAACCGTTAATTTCCTCTACTGCAAATTGAAACTTGTACAAAACCTTTCATAAGAAACCTATGAACTTTCCAATGCCAAACCTATGAAGCTTCCATATTTTTGGGGGGAGTCTCTCTCAGTCGCCTAGGGTGAAGTACAGTGGTGCAAATGTTGCTCACCTCAGGTTCATCCTCCTGGGCTTAAGTGGTCCCCATACATGGCCAAGACTAATACCTGTACCAAGAGGTCTCACTATTTGATTATTTATTTATTTTGAGATGGAGTTTCACTGTGTCACCCAGGCTGGAGTGTGCTGGCACAATCTTGACTCACTGCACTTCCTGGGTTCAAGTGAATCTCCTGCCTCAGCCTACCCAGTAGATGGGATTACAGGCACATGTCACCACACCTGGCTAATTTTTGTATTTTTAGTAGAAACGGGGTTTCGCCATGTTGGCCAGGCTGATCTTGAACTCCTGACCTCAATTGATCCACCTGCTTTGGCTTCCCAAAGTGCTAAGATTACAGGTGTGAGCCACCATGCCCGGCCTAATTTTTACTCTTTTTTTTTTTTTTGGTAGAAATGAAGTCTCCCTATGCTTCCCAGGCTAGTCTCAACTCCTGGGCTCAAGCTACTTTCCCACAAACCAAAGCTCTGGGATTACAAACACTAGCCACCACACCCTAGAGAAGAAAAACATCCACATTAAAAAAAATATATCAACTGCAAATAAGACCAAACTTTTAAAGGCAAATGCATGAAAAATGTGAGAAGCACTCTTGGTGGACTACAATAAAATTCACAAGTATACTGTATAAAACTGCAAAATAGCAAATGACAACCCTGAGGCTGTCTGAAGTTGTCTATGAACAATTCCTGCACTGACCCGATGGCATTTTCAAGTTGTAAATACCAGAAAATATTTTTTTTATCTTTTAACGTCAGTGGATGAGACCACCAATGCCAAAAATTGAACACAAAAATTACATTTTTAAAAGGAAAAAAATACAAACAAATTTCACTAACAGCAGCTAACAGCCATTAACTGTCCGAATACCATGAACAATACCTCCTGGTGAGAAGTGCCTACTTTCCAGGGAAAAAGAAAGAAAAGAAAGAAAGAAAGAGAGAGAGAGAGAGAGAGAGAGAGAGGGAGGGAGGGAGGGAGGGAGGGAGGGAGGGAGGGAGAGAGAGAGAGAGAGAGAGAGAGAAAGAAAGAAAGAAAGAAAGAAAGAAAGAAAGAAAGAAAGAAAGAAAGAAAGAAAGAAAGAAAGAAAGAAAGAAAAACACAGAAAGAGGCCAGGCGTGGGGGCTCACATCTTTAATCCCAGCATTTTCGGAGGCTGAGGAAGGTGGGTCACCTGAGGTCAGGTGCCCGACACCAGCCTGGAAAACATGGCAAAACCGGTATCTTTGAAAAATACAAAAATTAGCCAGTCGTCTTGGCAGGCGCCTGTAATCCTAGTCACTCAGGAGGCTGAGGCAGGAGAATTGCTTAACCCAGGGAAGCAGAGGTTGCAGTGAGCCGAGATCGCGCCACTGCATTCCAGCCTGGCGCCTGGCAACAGAGCTAGACTCCGTCTCGAAAAAAAGAAAAAGTATACGACTACATTTCATATAGCCACATATAAAAAGAACAATATAAATATATAACTATCAATAACTATTACGAATGACAAGCAAATTAACCTTACAAAGTTGGTGGAAGAAGCCGGAACTTGTCACCAATATGCCAACGATCCACCATGAGCTCACTTAATGATCCAAAACAAAATGGGCACAGACACAGGAGGCAAGCTTCTTTTATTGCCTGCCTATAGATCCACCCTCAAATATCCTGATTGGTTGCAATCGAAATAATTGACAGGGATACTGTCCACTTTCACCTTTCATATAACTGGTAAATGCGTCACACCCCAGGCCTTCACTCCTTATTGGTGGGAAGGATCAGTGCTTGGAGGTTTGGTACACGGAGTTGCAGGAACTGTGGGAAGCAGAAAAATAAAACTATCACAAAGTGACTCTTAAGAAACTGTCTGTGTGACTCCAGCAATGAATTCAAATAACCCACCAACCATGATTGCCTTGTTCTACAAAGATCTTCCAAGCCACTTTTACCATTGGGATGAGACTCGATTCATAACAAGGAATTGAAACCCATCCCTCCTCATTTATCTTTGGGAAAAAGAAACAAGGGTGATGTCAGGACAGGGATCTGCAGTGAAAAATTACCCTAAATAGCTGTACACCCAACAATTGTTCCTATGAATTAAGGGCATTACATAGGAGCAGTGCAGCCATTGCAGACCAGTTAAACAGAATGGGCACTGATCTAACTGAGCATACGCAATTAGGAGATAGTTTATATGACTGGAAGAACCGAAGTGGGGTGACAGAGGACCGATGAAAGGGATCACGAGTAGAACTAGGAAACAGCCATACTAGAGTTTGAATCCATGACCCTTTAGCAACAATGTCTGTGTTATAGACCACCACTGAAGGGTAATCAGCCTCCTACTGGAATGTCCTTTCTCTCCATCTCTGCCCACCCATTAGGTCCCAGGTCAAATGCAGCCACCTCCATGATGCATTCACTTAATCTTTCCCTCTTACAGGCCAGGCCGTCCTTGGTGCTACCAATTGGGAAATATGGGAAAACAATAGAAGTGGGGTGCTAGGGAGAGTTGTCAGCACTGGGGACAGAAATGGCAAGAAGGACCCAGATTTGGACTTGGAGGTTTGTATTTGTTAGGTTACAGAAATTCTGCAAAATCCAGCGAAAATAAAGAAACCCATACCTATCTATCTACTGAATGGTCAGAGAATATAGACTACGGTTGAAAGTAAACTTGGTGGGGTCGGGCATGGTGGCTCACGCATGTAATCCCAGCATTTTGGAAGGCCAAGCATGCGGATCACCTAAGGTCAGGAAGCCGGCACCAGCCTAGCCAACATGATGATACCCCATCTCTACTAAAAATATAAAACAATGTATCTGGACCTGGTGGCACACCTGTGATCCCAGCTACTAGGGAGACTAAGACAGGAATTGCTTGAACCATAGAGGCAGAGGTTTCAGTCAGCTGAGATTGTACCACTGCACTCCAGCCTGGGCAACAGTGTGAGACTCCCTATTAAAAAAAAAAAAAAAAAAAGCAGCCAGAAATGTAATATAAAAGGCAAAATCAGCTCCCTGGAATCCACGTGCTGTCTCTGCACCTCCTCAAACAACAGAGTCACGTATTTCCTTATTTTTCAGTTAAAACTACCACAAAACGTTAGACGGCATACGAGAAAGAACCAAACCAATATTTAAACAATTAAATTATTTAAGAGTCATCATTTCGGAAGGTAAAACACAACACGGTGACCAAATTCAGCTAAGGGATGCAAATTGACTTAAATCCAAAGCCCTCTAGACGATTTAAGTTTGCTATCAACCATATGAAAGTAAACTACTGGCCAGGCACAGTAGCTCAGGTCTGTAATCACAGCACTTTGGGGGTACGAGGTGGGTGGATCACCAGAGGTCAGGAGGCCGAGACCCATCTGGCCAACAAGGTGAAACCCCATCTCTACTAAAAATACAAAAATTAGCCAGATGTCGTGGCAGACCCCTTTAATCCCAGTTATTCAGGAGGCAAAGGAAGGAGAATCGCTTGAACACGGGAGGCGGAGGTTACTGTCAGCCAAGATCATGCCACGGCACTACACACCCTGGACAACAGAATGAAACTCAGTTTCAAAAAAAAGGAAAGAAAACGTATAGTACTACATTTCATATAACCAAGTATAAAAAGCACACTACAAATATTCAATTATCAGTAACTATTAGGAATGACCAGCAAATTAATCTTACAAAGTTGGTGGAAGAAGTCCGGCACTTGCAGCCAATACGCCAACGCCAACGATCCACCACGAGCTCACGTAATGGCCCACAAAATCGCTACTGCCTTAGGGGGCAGGTTTCTTTTATGGGCTGTCTGTCGCTCCACCCTCTATAGCGCCATCTTCAAAGATCCGTTTAGTTGTAACAGAAACGGTTGTCAAGGATACCGGCTACTCCCCACTTCCGGATATAAGTGCGTCACACCCCAGGCCTCCGCTCCTTATTGGTGGAAGGATCAGTGCTTGGAACTTTTGCACGTGGAGTTGCAGGAACTGTGGAAAGCGTAAGGATAAAAAAAAATTTTTTTTCTCCAGTGTTTTTATTGTGGTAAAATATACAAAAACAATTTACCATCTTAACCACTTTTTTTTTTAGGTTCTTTTTTTTTTTTATTGCATTTTAGGTTTTGCTCTTAGGAGACCCTCCTCGTGGTTCCAGCAATGAATTCAAATAATGTGACAACCACTTTAATATTTCTTTTGCAGGGTATTGCCTTGTTCTAGAAAGATCTTCACAGCCGTTTCTACCATTGGGATGAGACTCAATTCGTAGCAGGGAATTGCAACTCACCCCTCTGAATTTATGTTTGGAAAAAAGGCAGGGGGGAGATGTCAGGATAGGGATCTGCAGTGAAAAATTAGCCTAAATAGCTGTACTCCTAACAATTGTGCATGTGAATTAAGGGCATTACATTGGAGCAGTGCAGGCACTGCAGACCAGTTAAACAGAATGGGCACTGATCTAACTGAGCATAAGCAACTAAGAGAGATTTTATACAACTGGGAGGACAGAAGTGGGGTGATAGAGGACTGAGGAAAGAGATCACCAGTAGAACTAGGAAACGGCCATACTAGAGTTTGGATCCATGACCTTCTAGCAACAATGTCCGTGTTATAGACCACCACTGAAGGGAAATCAGCCTCCTATTGGAATGTCCTTTCCCTCTATATCGGCCCACCCATTAGGTCCCAGCTCAAATGCAGCCACCTCCACGATGCATTCACTGAAACTTGCCCTTTCTTAACAGGTCGTCTCCTGGTGCTACCAGGTGGGGAATATGGGAAAACATTAGAACTGGGATCCAAGGGAGTGCTGTCACCATTGGGATCAGTTAGCACGGGGATGGATATACCGAGAAGGACCCAAATTTGGACTTGGAGGTTTGCATTTGTTAGGTTGTAAAAATTCTGCAATATTAAGCACGAACAATAAAGTAACTCATACCTGTCTCCTGACTGTTCAGAGAATTTTATATTTAGACTACAATTGAAAGTAAACCTAGGCCGGGTGCGGTGGCTCACGCCTGTAATCCCAGCACTTTGGGAGGCCGAGGTGGGTGGATCACAAGGTCAAGAGATCGAGACCATCCTGGTCAACATGGTGAAACCCTGTCTCTACTAAAAATAGAAAAAAAATTAGCTGGGCATGGTGGTGCATGCCTGTAATCCCAGCTACTCGGGAGGCTGAGGCAGGAGAATTGCCTGAACCCAGGAGGCAGAGGTTGCCGTGAGCCGAGATCGCGCCATTGCACTCCAGCCTGGGTAACAAGAGCTAAAATATATATAAAAAAAAAAAAAAAAAAAAAAAAAGAAGAAAAGAAAAAAGAAAGTAAACCTGGTAGGTCAGAGTGTGATGGCTCAAACCTGTAATCCCAGCACTTTGGGAGGCCGAGCGGGCAGATCACCTCAGGTCAGGTGTCTGAGACCAGTCTAGCCAACGTGGCGAAAACCAGTCTCTACTAAAAATACAAAAAAATTTAGCCCGGCATGTTGGCGCTCCCCTGCGAGCCCAGCTACTGGGGGGGCTAAGACAGGTGAAGCACTTAGACTCCGGAAGCAGAGGTTGCAGTGAACCGACATCGCGCCACTGCCCTCCAGCCAGGGAAGCAGTGAGACTCCTAATAAAAAAAAAAAAAAAGAGCACCCGAAAAAGTAAGATAGAAGGCAAAATCAGGTCCCTGGCACCCACTTTGCTGGCCCTGCAACTGCTCAAACAACAGAGGCACGTGTTTCCTTACTTTTAAGCTAAATCTATCACAAAACTTTAGACGGCATTCGAGAAAAAAACAAAACCAATATTTAAACAAATAAAATATTAAAGAGTCATAATTTCGGAAGGTAAAACACAACAAGGTGACCAAATTCAGCTAAGGGATGCAAATTGACTTAAATCCAAAGCTCTCTAGATGATTTAAATTTGCTATCAACCATATAAAAGTACACTATTGGCCAGGCACAGTGGCTCAGGTTTGTAATCACAGCACTCTGGGAATATGACGTGGGTGGATCACCTGAGGTCAGGAATTTGAGACCCGTCTGGCCAACATGGAGAAACCCTGTCTCTACTAAAAATACAAAAATTAGCCTGGCGTCATGGCAGGCGCCTGTAATCCCAGTTATTCAGGAGACAAAGCCAGGAGAATCGCTTGAACCCGGGAGGCAGAATTGCAGTGAGCCAAGATCGTGCCAAGGCACTACACTCCGTTTCAAAAAAAAAAGAAAAGAAAAAGTATACTACTACATTTCATATAACCAAGTATAAAAAGCACACTACAAATATCCAATTATTAATACCTATTAGGAATGACCAGAAAATTAATCTTACAAAGTTGGTGGACGAAGTCTGGCACTTGCTGCCAATACGCCAGCGGTCCACTGGCAGCTCACTTAAGGATCCAGAACAAAATGGGCTCCGCCCCAGAGGGCAGGTTTCTTTTATGGCCTCTCTATAGCTCCACCCTCAAATATCCAGATTTGTTGTAACTGAAACAATTGACAGGGATACTGTCTACTCCCACCTTGCGTATAACTGGTAGGCACATCACACCCGAGGCTTTTGCTCCTTATTGGTGGGAAGGATCAGTGCTTGGAGGTTTTGCAAGGGGAGTTGCACCAACTATGGGAAGCATAAGGATAAAACTATCACAAAGTAACTCTTATGAGACTGTCCGCGTGATTCCAGCAATGAATTCAAATAATGCGCCAACCACTTTTATATATATATATTTTTGCAGGGTATTGTCTTGTTCTAGAAAGATCTTTGCAGCCGTTTCTACCATTGAGATGAGACTCGATTCATAGCAGGGAATTGATACCCACCCCTCCACATTTATGTTTGGAAAAAAGGCACGGGGGTGATGGCAGGACAGGGATCTGCAGTGAAAAATTACCCTAAATAGCTGTACACCCAACAATTGTTCCTATGAATTAAGGGCATTACATTGGAGCAGTGCAGCCATTGCAGACCAGTTAAACAGAGTGGGCACTGATCTAACTGAGCATACGCAATTAGGAGATAGTTTATATGACTGGAAGAACCGAAGTGGGGTGACAGAGGACTGAAGAAAGGGATCACGAGTAGAACTAGGAAATTACCATATTAGAGTTTGAATCCATGACCCTCTAGCAACAATGTCTGTGCTATAGACCACCATTGAAGAGTAATCAGCCTCCTACTGGAATGTCCTTTCTCTCCATCTCTGCCCACCCATTAGGACCCAGGTCAAATGCAGCCACCTCCATGATACATTCACTTAATCTTTCCCTCTCTTCACAGGGCGTCTCTTGGTGCTACCAGGTGGGGAATATGGGAAAACATAAGAAATAGGATGGAAGGGAGTGTCGTCAGCCTGGGATCAGTTAGCTCGGGGATGGATATGGCGAGAAGGACCCAGATTTGGTCTTGGAGGTTTGCATTTGTTAGGTTGCAAAAATTCTGCAAAATCCAGCAGAAATAATAAAGTAACTCATACCTGTCTACTGACTGTTCAGAGGATTTTAGATTTAGACTACAGTTGAAAGTAACCTTGGCAGGGCCAGGTGTGATAGCTCACACCTGTAGTCTCAGCACTTTGGGAGGCTGAGTGGGCAGATCACCTGAGGTCAGGTGTCAGAGACTAGCCTGGCCAACATGGTGAAACCCTGTGTCTACTAAAAATGCAAAACAATTTAGCCGGGCATAGTGGCACGCCCCTATGAGCCCAGCTACTGGGGAGGCTATGGCAGGTGAATCGCCTAAACTCCAGATGCAGAGGTTGCAATGAGCCAAGATCATGCCACTGCCCCCCAGCCTGGGTGACCAAGTGAGACTATCTATCAGTACAAAAAAAAAAAAGATAGAAAAAAAAGCACCCAATAAAGTAAGATAAAAGGCAAATTCAGGTCCCTGGCAGTCACTGTGCTGTCCCTGCACCCGCTCAAATAACAGTGACATGTATTTCCTTATGTTTAAGTTAAAACTACCATAAAACTTTAGACAGCATACAAGAAGGGACAAAAAACAATATTTAAGCAAATAAAATATTAAAGAGTCATCATTTCGAAGGTAAATCACAACACCGTGACAATGTTCAGTTAGGGGACCAAAATTGTCTTAAATCCAAATCCCTCCAGATTATTTAGGTATGCTAGAAGCATACAAAAGTACAGTATTGGCATGGTAAAGTGGCTCACGCCTGTAATCCAAGCACTTAGGGAGGCCAAGGTGGTTTGATCACCTTAGGTCAGGAGTTCGAGACAAGCCACGCCAACATGGTGAAAGCCCGTCTCTCTTAAACATACAAAAATTAGCCAGGTGTCGTGGCAGGCACCTGTAATCCCAGTTACCTAGGAGGCTGAGGCAGGAAAATCACTGCAACTGGGGAGGCAGGGGTTGCCATGAGCCGAGATCATGCCACTGCACTACAACCTGGATGACAGAATGAGACTCCATCTCAAAACAACGAAACAAAAAAAGTATACTACATTTCATATAGCCATGTATAAAAAGCACACTCCAAATATCTAACTATCAATAATTATTAGAAATGATAAGCAAATTGATCTTAAAACAGTTTGTGGATGAAGCCGGCACCCCTGACATGCCAACGCTCCACCAAGAGCCCATTTAACGATATAAAACAAAATGGGCTGCACAGGCTTCTTTTAGTGCCTGTCTATGGCTCCACCCTCAAAGATCCTGACCGGTTGTGACTGGAACAACTGACAGGGATACTGTCTACTCCCACCTTCTGTATAACTGGAAAACATGTCCACACCCCAGGCCTTTGTTCCTTATTGGTGGGAAGGATTAGTGCTTGGAGATTGGCGCATGGAGTTGCAGGAACTATGGAAAGCGGAAGGATAAAACTATCACAAAGTAACTCTCATGAGACTGTCT